CTATTTTTTACATATTGTAAAGTCTTAAGATACCTAAAAAGGACTTTGAAAAGTGCTATTCTATATTTCTTGCATGCGCGGGGGCGTACTTAAGGAGAAAGGGGCCCCGCTGTCCAAAGAAAAAATGAGATACGAAATTTCGTAACGAATTTGTCGCGAGTTCGTGTGTCACTTTCGTATACGAATTGTCGTGCATTCGTAAATACTTTGTTGCAAATTCGTGGCTTTACGCGAAATTTCAGGAAAATTAGGGTTACGGTTAAGTCGAGATTAAAATTGCGAATATGGTTACGGTTATCGTTTGGGTCAGGATAATTGTCAGAATTATGACGCGGAATTGTTACTTTTCCTCGAATTTAACTAAAGCAACCTGCGAGCATTCCTATTAGAGTGTCCAGCCCAGGGAGAGGCGGCATATAAGTAATTCCGACCCAAATTCGTGCTTATGGACAAACAATATCAGTGGCAAGTGATCCCAAACATTTTCGAACGCACTTCTCCGGGAAGTGAAACTAACTTTGTAACGGAAATTGATGGTACCTAAAAAGTTGACATTTTGTTCTCTATCCTACGTCTGATGATGATCTGGGGGAATAAGTCGCCAACACGTATACTGTAGCTCATTTTTTATTCGAAGGAACTCACCTGAATTGATGGAGGGCAGAAGATAACACTGACGTAAACTGAACCACAAGGCGGAATAAGTGACCTTGAAGGTTCAATCTCAAAGGCGTCAACCTGTCCTTTGCTCCAGACGCTTCGTCTATCGCTGCTGCTCCCTCTGGTGATTCCTGATCGGGTGCTACTGGTGCGTGCTGTAGACTGAGTGCGGGATCTAACCATTCCTCCGCGGCCACTAGTTTCACGCACACCATTACCGGCCTTCAGAGAGAAGTGGACGTCAGCGGGTACCTTCGAAGGGTTGGTCAATCGAAAGCGTGCCTGGCAGCGTGTGCCAACCAACGTGTCCGCGAATAGGAACCTGTTTTCGTCCGCGACATATGTCCCACCAAGTATCTGCAAGGCAATTCATCGCCATTAATAAACTGATGAAGCCGGAGACCAGAACTGGTATTTCAAATGCATTTTGAGCTATACTCCTATTTGCCATATCGTGGGCTTGACTAGATGTGATTTATGTAGAGTGTAAGATCGTTATTATCCCATTAGACCCCATAGAACTATGACCATAGGTTGTATCTCTTTTTGCATCATAGAAGTGTGCGTACAGCGTGTCGACATGGAAAATCTACAGACCTCGAGGAATTTTCCCATAAAATAACCACGTAAATAAAAATGCCAAATCCTTTGATATACGACCTTGATGTGCATTTTGAAGGAATTGCTTTAATTTCGAATATAAAAAATCCGTCAAGGGTCGGGCAGAGTCAGTGAGAAAATTCATTAATTGTCAACCGAAATCTTCATATTTCAGACCCACTTGAAAGTCCGGTTTTAAATACACTTCTTTCTGCTTAACTGCAAAAATCGCAGCCGTTAACAAAGTGAGTACTTATTAGCTTGCATTCTTCCATCGATTTTCAATGTTCTTATACATTAAAAAGAGTTTATAGAAAACATGCACAAAAATATTATGTTTCGTGTTGATTCAGTGGCAAATTTTATACCCAAACGAAAGGTATATCGAGGAACTACAAAAACCTTTTCAAATTCCCAAATGACTTTGAGCATAATCTACCGTTACATGTGAATTTATGGTTGACAATCTTTAAGATTTTTACTTGCTATGGAAGGAAAATCATGCATCTCTCACTCTAATTGAGAGACTAATGCATTGTGCTCACAAAATTTTGCAACCGAATGGACTGGGTTGCATACCTCATAAGCAGTATCAAAAACTGGACAGATAAGATGCTATCTGAAGGGAACTCACCTGGTCTTAGAATATCTCATAATTGCAAACTTTTTAAAAGCCAAGTATACCCTTTCCTTCGGTAAAAAATTTGAGGAAAACGCTATTGTCTACCAAATTAATGTAAAAATAATTTTTTGTGTACGAGTTCTGTAAAATATGTTTAATTTTTATAAGGGCAGTGAAAAGTGGCGTCTTGACGCGACTAAAATATCTCGGCATTACGCTGCACAATAATCAATATTCAAACCCACTAAATAAATCATTCAAATCGAAAATGCATTTCAAAAGTTCAGTGACAATTTCATCGGATCGGTCGCTGATTTTATTTATTATTCTGTGTTTTCGAACTTGTTCACGAATATTTCTCCTCTTCTTCAAGAACGGAACACTCGAATCCCAGGAAATAATTGAGAAGAAGATGTGATCTCTGGGACAAGACTTCTATTCGCCTGAAGTTTCGGAATCCATCGCAGATCATTCGTCAGAGACATTAGCAGAAACAGTAACAGAAATGGGTAGTTCATACACAGAAAGTTGCAGTATTTATAGGATATAGTCACTTCTGTCCACCTCTGGCAATTAACGGCTCTACTATCTAGGATAATTGCCCGCATGTGCGTTAATGGCTTGATGACCGGCGTGCGGGCCATGACCCGCTGCACTTCCATCAAACGCGATGGAATTTTACGTAATGATTGCTCGGCTAGCTGGTTCCCCGGTAAGAGTCACCTGTCCTACAACACCACAGACCGAAATCCTGTGCGCGGTATTTGGATGATACCTCCGTTGTCATCGAACGGCATCAGGTGCTCACGTTCAAAGAATGCCTCAATGGCGTCTTTCCGGACATACGATTAACAGTGAAGGTGGAAGAAGCAATCTGCTGACCTTCTTTGATGTCCTCGCCCGCCGCAAAGATCATGGTCGCCTAAAGACCAAGGTGTTCAGGAAAGCGACAAACGCGATGCAAGTACAGAACTTCAGCAGCAATCAATTAATTAGCCACAAACTATGTTGCATGTTTGTCTGCGTTTTGAGACCAACTTGCCACAATAAAATATCTTCGACGGGTGTTCAGAGTAAATGGATACTCGCGCAACATTGTCCACCGGTGAATGTGCAAACGAGATGGAAAACATCTCACCTACCCCAAATTTTGGCGAACGAGGCCGTCGGTTGCATTTCCGCAGCAGTTGAAGTCGCACACAGGCTGCAGGCAACCATAAGGCGTCAGATAATTAAACTACAAGACCCACTTCCACGGCAAGAAACGCATTGCGTCATCTTAAGTATCTGATGCAGATGCGGACAAAACAACTACGTCAGAGAAACTGGGAGACTTCTCAAGATGCGAATTGGCGAAAACGCGACAGCAGTGCGGAGAAATGACGCCAATTCTCAAGTTGCGGTTCATTCGACGAGACCGAAATTCTCGTGAGAGATGACAATCGTGTTAGTCGTGGGTCACGCGAGTCATGGTTCACGGGATTCCAGACTTTAAACAAGTGCAACAACTTGCCCAATCTATCTTCGGTACTGAGGTTCAATTTGGCCAAGACACTTTGTCACTTGGGAACCGCACAGGCGAACGCGTCGTCTAACGCCAACGCCGGGGAACCAGATGACCGAGCAATCATCACGTCCAATTCCACCATGTGGGAGGAAATTTCAGCAGTTCACGGCCCGCACGCCGGTCATCAAGCAGTTAACGTATATGCGGGCAATTATCCTCGATAAGGGAGCGGTTAACTGTCATAAATGTGCAGTAGTGCCTGTATCCTATAAATGCTGCAAGTCCCTGTGCATGAATTACCCGTTTCTGCTAATGTCTGTGATGAAGAATCCACGACAGATTTGTAAACTTCAGGCGAATGGAAGTCTTGTCCTAGCGATTGCATCTTCTTCTTTTCTATTATCACACTTTGACAATAAAACTCTAATTTTAAGATACCCGGCTTCGCATCCTTGCAAAAGTATGGGAAACTGTTTCTTAGGTGTTCGTTTGCGGTAAATCGTCGAGGGTAGGAGAATTCAGGAAAGCCACACACAACAGTCAACCAACTCTGTTAAACGTGACTAGTAAAGATCTCTTGGATACGCCTTACTCCTTAACACCTGCTCTATAGAAATGTCATGCACACCAGTAACATTGGAAATAGTTCCACTAAACTTACCTCAGTATCTTTTATTGCTTGCAACATGTCGTAATTTTTACAGATTCGATGTTCTTCAAAGATATCGGCAATGTCATCCACATTGATGTAGGGGAAGCACGACTCCGCCAGTAGCATATAGGACAGTCCTAAGGGACCTTCGCTCGCATCCCTGTCTGAGATGTCTAGACAGAGTTCCTAAAAGGAAAACCAAATATGCGCCCAAGAGCGATAAAAGAAATGACTTCTAACTTCAGGATAAATTCGAGCACTTTCAACTATTTGTGAAGCTTACGAGTAACCATTATTCTGCGTACTCTAAAACAAAAAGAATCCATGTGCCTTGTGGTTTAAGGCGTCGAAAACAGGTTACAGGAAACAGTTAGAATCTTGCCTGCTGTTGGAGAAAGAGCGGACTTAGACTGCGAACCAGGTTACATTTATGAGTGAGAAGGCTTCAGATCCTATATTCGAATCGTGAAAATATATTATGCATATGTTCTCTTAGTATACCTGATTTGTTCGTGCATAATGAAGCAAGTATAGTCAATATGTTCTTCAACTTCCCTTCTGTGGTGGAATGGACTGCACCGACGTCCGGCATATACGGACAGGTCGTCGCAGTTAGCGTCCAAAAACAATGTTGACGACTAATTACTGAAAAATGTTTAGATAGTATATACAGGAGTTACACTCAAACTCCGTTGAATACACTTTGCCCGGTAGTCCGATTCGTGGTTTCGCCTTAGATGCATGCAGGAAGTAAAGGCGTGTTATACCGAGAAACTACACTGTCGACAGACCGTCCTAACGCTAACTTCTATTCACAAATTGGTGATTTCCAAAAATATGGGGATGAGAAAAATGTCCTTGTGATTGCGGACACGAAAGTTCTGGTTCGTGACAAGTCGATAGCGTTCCACGCAGTGCACCAGCGTTACTGGTTCCAAGTCCGGTATGACGAACACACCTTTGAGGATGGCATGATGGAACTCATGAAGCCGGTGCGTTTCCTCGTTCTCGATAAAGATGCAATGAGGGCCATTGCAACCGGACTATTCGTCC